GATAACTTCTTAAAACTAGAAAATTGATCTCACCTTTGCATCTATTTCTTCTGCTTTTTCATTGGCTTCTTGTTCAATGAAAGCCATCATATGCTTAATCTATAAGGAAAAAAAGATTATTTTTTAACTCAGCAAGAGAAGAAAACATGATATGTTTTCTGACGCATTTAACAATCCATCATTTGTTGAAACCATGTTATGTGGTAGGCACCAGGTACAAGGACACATGAGATAGTCTCGCTCCTCCTCTTACCTCAGTTCTCATACCCAATCAGTCGTCAACTCCTATCAATTCTCTCTTCAACTTGTTCACATCTCTCCATCCTCTGAACCGCTACCCTAGTCCTTGCCGTCATCCCTCGGCTGGATTACTGCAACAGCTTCCAATTTTGTCTCCTTGCCACCAGTCTTGTTCCCTCTAATCTACTCTATGCTGCAGCCAGAGAAATCCTTTCAAATTCCTATTTTATCGTGTAACACTCTACCCCCCCACACACACACACACCTTTAAGATAAAGTGCAAAGATCTTAGAAGGTACAGGATCTTATCACTGCTTACCTTTCGGGCATCATAGGAAACAAATCCTTCACTACTCACCACTCTTAACACTTAGTACCTGCCACACTGAACTTAGTTCAGGTCCATGAGTTCCCCATTCTCTTTCTCACCTCCAAGATTGTAGGCATGCTCTTTCTTCCATTTGAAACATTCCTCCTTCCCCTCTTCACTGAGCTAGCTTCTTGGGCCTCAGCTTGCATAACTATCATCTCCTTAGGGGAAATCTTTCCAGAACCTCTCACTCACATGCACCTAGAGCACTCTGCCCCTCCTCTGTCATGGCACCTAAACATATATTCATAATTGCTTGCTTACTTGTACTTATGTTCAACTGGATTATTAGGCTAGGAACTTGTTAAAGGGTTTTAGATCATTGGCTACAATTGGAGAATAAAGCCAACTGAAGAATTCTGGGTGGAGCTTGGGGTGATTGATCCAACTTAGACTCATAAATGAAGTTTTCTTTTTTGTTGGCGGTTTTAAATTCTCTTCAGGGGAAATTTTAACCAACCGGTTATTCAACTTCCTTTTTGTTGGGATTGGGTTGGCGTTTTCTTTTTTTGGGGGTTTTCCTTGAAGGAGTTATTGAATTCCAAAAGGCGAGAAAAGCTAAAAATTTATGTAGGACCTCTAGGTCATTAATTAATTTTGCTTATTCATTAATTCTTCCATGATAAGGTAAGCTCTATGAGTACAGGGACCTTGTCTTTTATACCACTGTAAACACAGAATATGGAAAAACTACCACCCTAATAGGTGCTCAATAAACATCTGTGAACGAATGAGAATCTGCTGGGGGTTTCAAGCCTTCTGAGGAGTACAGTTCTTATAGCAGCTTTTCCATGTAACACAAAGATATCATAAATCTAAGGTATA